CACCACTCCCAGAGAACACCCTGAGTGAGGTATTGTTTCTGGGACAAGGGATCTTTGATGTGTTTTGAGAAGCAGCTAGGACATTTTAGGACTCTTTAAAAAGAATAATAATAAATAATACCCACATGTTGCCCCTACTCCGGCCACCCCCTCCATGGCCACATGCAGGGAGCTAGGGCTGATTGAAAATTTCCGGTTGAAACTTTTCCTTTCAGAAGGAAATCCGTGGTTTTGAACAAACATTTTCTGCAGAAAGTGTCTGCTTTCCTCCCAAAATTTCAATCTCTCATTTGAAAACAGGAAGCCCAAAACCTGACAATTTTCCGCCAAACACTGACTTTTGCGGGCTGTGGGTCAAAAGTTTTGGGCCGTTTTCAGCTGAAAACATATTTCTCCAATGAAAAATCAAAATTTCCCCCTGAAAATGTCAATGAAAAAAACCATCTCCCCCCCAGCTCCACCAGGAATCCTTTATAGAGCTGTTTTCCCTGACTCACATAAGCACTTTACAATTTCACAAAGGAGCAGGGAAGAAGTTTCCAAATGTTATAAAATACATTTCCCCAGTCACATGCATGTGCCTGGAAAAATTTCCAAGATTCAGCTCTGATTAATAAGAGTCCAATAAAGCATGCTACTTAAAGGATTATTATGATTAGTTATGACTTACAGATAGAGCTATAAAACACTGTTATAAAACACAGGCCATGCAGATGCTGTCATGTCAATTTAAGCCATGATGTTGAGTGTGATAAAGCACATTAAGAATCCTTTTATAATTTAACAAATGAGAATTGATTAGTAAGTAAAATAATTAATGAGTTCATACAGTTGTAGATGCCTGAAGGTCTCAGAACCAAATTTTCAAGAGGCAGTCACTAGGTTGACAGAAGAATTCTTCCGTTGACCTACCGCTGTCTACGCTGGGGGTTAGGTCAACTTAACTATGTCCCTGAGAGGTGTGGATTTTTCACACCCGTGAGTGATGTAGTCGGCTCGACCTGACATTTTAGTGTAGATTTGGCCTGCATTCCTGCCCCTTGCTCAAGCATGCAGACATTCACCCATTTGGCAGGCACACGTGGGGATTGTGTGCCCCATGTTGTGCAGACACCCATTTGAAAATCTGGCTCCAAAAGGGGCTAGGAGAATAGATGTAATTGTGAGCAAAGACCATCTTTTGGTTCTGTTTGTACAGCACAAAGCACAGCGGGGCCTCGATGCGGTTCCTAGGCCCTACTGCACTACAAAAAAAATAATAATGAATAATTGCATGCATAAACGAACACAAATAATAGGTAGGTGCTAACAGTTTTATAATGGATACTTGAATTCCACCTTCCAAGGTTCCCAGCAGCTGAATACAGTGGTGGTGTCTGACGCCATGGAAAGCTTTATGGCACCGCTAAGCACCCTCAGCGAGCTGGGGCTTCATCACGGCAAGAATAAACTGCTGCGCGGCAAGGTGAGCGGGCCCTCGCGGCGCAAGCGGGAGTTCATGCCCGACGAGAAGAAGGACACTATGTACTGGGAGAAGAGACGCAAGAACAACGAGGCGGCCAAACGCTCCCGGGAAAAGAGACGACTCAATGACTTTGCCATGGAGAGCCAGTTGTCGGCTCTCAGTGAGGAGAACGCCCTCCTCAGGGCCGAGCTGCTGGCCTTGAAGCTGCACTTCGGTCTCATCAGCCCGGACGTCTACACCCACCAGGCCGGTTCCATCCAGGACTTCCTGGGGATTTACCTCAGAGGGCACAAAGCAGCCGCCCCTTTCCTCGAGGTGGAGCCCTTGACCCGGGATGGCTGCTTCAGGACAAACGGCGTTGTGCCCCGCATGGTGGAGCCCACTGAGTTCGCTTACAAAGGCCTCACCCCACCCAGAAATCTCCAGAGCTCTGACCCAAAGCAGACCCTACTGGGCACCCAGTACGATCTGAACCCTCACCAGCCAAAGAGGCTCGAATCAGCCTTCAAATCCACCCTCTGCTCCCCTTACTTCAATTACCACTTTCTGGAGAAATACACTTGCCGGTTCCCTTCGCTGGACAATGCCCGTTTCTTGGCCACTTCTCCCAGTATGGCTGAGGCAGGGAACCAGGGCGCCAAAAGCCCATTAGATGAAGATGATGAGCAGCAAGTGCCTAAAATATCCCCTCTCCCCCACGGCAGCCAGCTGTGCCCTGTGGAGGACCCTTCCAGGGGCCGGAGCTATTCTGCCCTGCCTCACAAACTCAGAATTAAGACTAAAGCCCTCAGCAGCTGGGAGGAGAGTGGCTCTGACTCCCGTTGAGATTGCAGAGGAGACACACACCCCTCATTATGGGCTGGGAAGGAGGGAGCAAGTGGGGGATAATTATCTTATGCACTGAAGAGGAAAAGTAATTTGTTTTGCGTTGAACATGTGAGATATGGGTGTGAGCAGGGCCTGACGGGGGCTGGCATGTGTCTGGCATGGTAGTACTTTCCCAAAACTCCACACGCCGTGTTCCAGTGAGACCCACAGACTCACTCTTTGTACAACAGGGGGCTTATGGTTTCACTTTGTTGCTTTGCTCATGCCTGGAGCCGAAAGGCAGGGTCTGGGGTAGGCGTGGGAGGGGAGGACTGAGGATGGAGAAGGCCGAGATTACAGGCATGGTGAGCAGCGCATGATACTCCAGCAGCACTACACCCCAACTACAGTCGCTCGGTGTGGCAGCCATTTTCACTCCTCTTGCTTCGTGGTCACTTTCTTCCCCGCAGGATGGGGCTATTAAAGGTTTTATTCATGTTTCCTGTTTGAAACAGCAAATGGACAGAGACAGCTTCAACGACGCCCACCTCAACATGCCTGGAGCAGGCTCAGGACAAATGGGGGTGTTGGAGAGAGGTAGCGGATTATCTAAGACTCATGCTATTCAATCACGTTCCATCTGTAGTCCCATTGTCCTTGCATTCCTGTAACCAGTGGGACTGTTTCTGTGTGTGAGGATGGGAAGTGGGATCAGAAACCAGTTGGGTGAGAAGAAGAAAGGGCCTCTAGAGCAATACTCACCTAGATTCGTATTGAACAGATTTAATGATCCTTTAAGCCATTTCGTAATGGCTCAGACTTTGTCTTACCTTGAATATCTTCCATGATTCCTGCTGGTGATTCCAGAGCTCCCCAGTATAGCCACAGTAGAACATGCTTCTGGTGTCATTTGCAGAGCAGTTACCCAGTTTCTGATCGTAGTTACTCTGGAAGTAAATGTGGAATCACATCAGTGGATTTACGCAGGGGTAAAACAAGAAAAGAATCTAGCCCACTGTATTTCCCATGAATCATCAGTTCTCTTCAGACTGAATATGTCCATTTCTCTTAATCAGCATGGCCTAGTAGAAAACATTTCATTTTTCTTTACATCATTTTTTGGGAGGAGGCAAAAATTCTTTTTTTTTTTTAAATTTGTAATTGAGAATTCTATCAAAAATATTTGTGTTTTGTTCATAATTGAACTCGCTTTTGTAAATCAGAAATTTTTGAAAAAAGATTTTTTTAAAATTGTGCAATAATTAAAAAAAAAAATCCCAACTTGTGACTAAGTGGACCAAAAAATTTCTCATTTGAAACTATCTTATTTTGAAAATGATACCAAAGCCAAAATCCCCCCTGAGCCAAAGCACATCAGTTTTCATGGCCAGCGATACGGCCTGCACCACATCTGACCATGCTGGAGGTGATGTTCTAGCAGGAGAGCAAATTAGGCTCAAACCAACAACCTATCAGATGATCACAGAAAGTCTGAATAACACAGCCACTGCAGCTCCAGGAAAGGGCTACATGAAAATGTTCATTACAAATGTCACCCAAAATGTTGATAAAATGAGACAACGAGGAGTCTGGTGGCACCTTAAAGACTAACAGATTTATTTGGGCAGAAGCTTTCGTGGGTAAAAAACCCACTTCTTCAGATGTGTTAGTCTTTAAGGTGCCACTGGACTCCTCGTTGTTTTTGTGGGTACAGACTAACATAGCTCCCCTCTGATACTTGATTAAATGAGAAATATATAACAATTTTAGACCCCCCCCCTCTTTTTTTTGGCCAGCTTTAAATGAAAATTAAAAATCTGGATTGGGATCATCAAAGCTACCTCGGGGATTTGGCCCCCCATGTGGCAGCAATAATGGTGGCAACAGAAGATGGCTGCTGTGACACTGTTATGTAACAACTAGGGCTGGCTGAAAATTTTCTTTTGCGGTGGAAAAATGGGGTTTTCAGCTACATGATTTTCTTTTAATGAAAAATGTCTGCTTCCTGTAGAAAATTTCAGTTTTCCATTGAAAAACCATATGCACAAAAACTGAACTATTTCAATTTGGAAATGATGCTGCACTTCCTCATGAGAGTGATAGTTTGGTTTCCTCATGCCCCCATTCTTCTCTGTGAGCTGGGCTCCCCAGCCAGACTACATCTCCCATGATGCACCCTGACCACGGACTCCCATGAGGTACTGCTGCCCTTTTCCAAGAAGGGAGACCATGGTGCATCATGGGAAATGTAGCTCACCCAGGGAGCCCAGCCGGTGGAAGAGAATGGGAGCATAAGGCACCACCGCAACATTTCCAAATCAAAATATTTCATTTTTGGGCCAAAATGTTTTGGTTTCGGCTGAAATGTTTCTATATTAGAATTTCTGCTGAACATGCAAAATTTCCCATGGAAAACAAAAAAGCACCGTTGAAATGACTGCCAGGAGGGTCCTGATCCTGACTGAACTCCGCCGCCCCCCTGAAGCATCTCCCCCCTTGCCTCATTCTGCTTAACCTGTCCCTTTTCATTTACAAACCAGAAACCCAAAGTAGAAACGCTGAGCAGTCACCAGTTTGCTGGACTTTCCAGGGCTTGCCTATATGGAGACGTAGCGTGCGACAGGCCAGGGTGTGAAAGCACAACACACCAGCCTGCTGCACGCTAAAGGTACGTGTACACTTAGGACAGACACTGCACGCCCAGCTAGCACAGGTATAAACAGCAGTGTTGACGGCGAGGCACAGAGTAAAGTGCCCTACACAAATGAACCCTAGGGTATGTACCCTTCACGGCTGACTACATACCCAAGCGGGGACTCCCAGGTCTACACTGCTATACTGCCTCCCCATTGCTAGAGCCCTTCCCTGCCGCAGTGAAAGTCTCTGGCAGTGGGGAAAGGCTCCGGCAGTAGGAGGCAGCGGAGAAAGTCTCTGGCAGCTCCCCACTTCCGGAACGTTTCCCTGCTGACTCCTTGCAGCCTTTCGCTACAACGCATAGCTACATGTATAGTGCCTGTACTATACCTGCTATGATCAGTGTAGTCATAACTTGCTATGTGGACCCTGCTGCCACGCACCGCACGTTCTGTCGCATGCTTTGACGTCCTGCTGTTTCAGACAGAGGAAGGTAGCCCAGCAAGCGTTGCTACCAGGATTCTGGGTCCTGTGCAAATGCGCGGGGGTGGGTGGAGGGAACAGAAGTGCTTTCCTACTTCCTGAGCCCACTCAAGGGATTCAGCCCTTATCAGCGTGCTGGGCTTTGAAAATACAAAGTGCTGTGTAAGAGCTACTTGATTATATTTCCTTCCATCAGCCAAATGGGCACCTTAGTTAACAGGGGACCGTATAGATTAGTCAAGGCTGAACTTCCAGAGGGCTAGCGTTTGGCTTAGGGTTAGATACTCCCGCTCCTGCCAGAGAGTTTATGCAGCAGCTGCTCTGTTGGCCAACAGCAGGGACTGAATTGAGAATCTCCAGAGCTGAAACCCTGAGTTTCTACAGCTTAAACTAAGGAGCCAGGCTCGCTAGGGGAGAGCCGGAATAGACCCACATTCCCTGTGGATCAGGCAGCCAGCGGGATACACTGGCCAGTGGGTTACACGTACATTAACAGACCGCAGAGAAAGGAAAGCCTTGTTTCTGAGCAATAGCTGGGGAAAGTGTTTCATGACAGACGTTTTGGATTTGCGCTATCAGTGTCCAAAGCCAGAGGCCTCCTGGCATCCCTTCTGTCTCAGGGACAGAGCTGCTCAAATTATTCACTGTGAATAAGTTATCGGATGAATGTAGCCCTTTTCTGTTCATGAACTAAGCCTGATTTCTAAACCTCATGGTCCCCCACCATCAGGCAGCGGCTAATACCTGCAACTGAGCCCTTGGAATCGAACCCAGCCAAGATAACTCTAACATATTCTCTATCGTCATGTTTCAAGGGCATACCCAGGTCATCACCATCTCTGGGAGAATGCGCCCCACAATGGTATAGCACAATTAGGTGCTTATGGGTGTGGCTGGGTTTCTGCAAAGCACTTGGTTCTGGTCACTGTTGGAAGCAGGGTATCAAGTGGATGGTACCATCCATCTGTTCCTACAGTACGTAGCTTCGTGCTGTGTTCACTGAACCCCAAAGCAGATGCTCCCAGGAGCACAGGTTCACAAACACTGCAGAGGAAGAACTGCGTTGAGATGGAGAGGTAACTATAGGACACTAGATCCAGGGGCCAATCATAGCACTCCTGGAGGAATCTTCTTGGTGGAGATGGCCCTTAATTCAGAGTTTGATCTCCAGGTAGTGGCAGGGGAATTACATGGTACTATCAACAGACATGGCAATTGCACCTGGAGATGCTTGGTGCCATTGCACAATGATCTGTAAAGAAGCTAGCGGTGGAAAAGACTCGTTAGGTTTTCAAGTCCATCCCTACTAGCGAAGAATTGTTCACTCCAACGTCTTCTTGAGTGTAGTGTACAGACTTTAAATGTTCCAGGTGTTGGGGTTCCCCTCTCTTCCCTTGGGAGACTATTCTGCCATCTAACCTGTGGCTCCCAGGGCCGGCTCTGGCTTTTTTGCCGCCCCAGGCAAAAAAGCCTCCCGCCGCGCCCCCACCTCCCCCCCGAGTGTGGCAGGGGAGGGCGCTGAGCCCGGCCGCGGGCCCGCTCTCCCCGATCAGCCGGAGCGCCAGGGGGAGGGTGGCGAGCCCGCCATGGCTCTGCTGGCGGCCGGAGCGCCGGGAGGAGGGCAGAGAGCCCAGCCGGGGCCCCACTCTCCCTGGCGGCCAGAGCGCCGGGGGGAGGGCGGCGAGCCCGCCGCAAGCTCCGCTCTCCCCAGCCGGCCAGAGTGCCGGGGGAGGGCGGCGAGCCCGCTGCGGCTCCGCTCTCCCCGGCAGCCGGAGCTCCGCGGGGAAGGTGGCGAGCCCAGTCGCGGCCCTGCTCTCGGGCCGGAGCACTGCGCCGCGCCGCCCCCCTCCAGGTGCCGCCCCAAGCACATGCTTGGTGGGCTGGTGCCTGGAGCCGGCCCTGGTGGCTCCGGAGCCGCATGTGGCTCTTCAGAGGTTAATATGCGGCTCCTTGTCTAGGCACTGACTCCGGGGCTGGAGCTATAGATGCCAACTTTCCCATGTGTGGGGGGGTGCTCACTGCTCTGCCCCAAGCCCCGGCCCCCACTCCAACCCTTCCCTCAAGGCCCCTGCCCGAGTCTGCCATGCCCTCGCTCCTCCTCATAGCCTCCTGCACACCTGATTGTAGTGGGCGGGGGGAGTAGGCGCTGATTGGTGGGGTCTGCCGGCAGGCAAGAGGTGCTGGGGAGCGGATGGGGGGCTGCTAACCTATTACTGTGGCTCTTTGGCAATGTACTTTGGTAAATTCTGGCTCCTTCTCAGGCTCAGGTTGGCCACCCCTGGTCTAACAGATGTTGCCATTAAGAAATGTTTCCCGATTTCCCACCCTAAATTTTCCTCGGCTTAATTTCATCTTGTTGTACCTGGCTAGACACTATGGCCGAGCTCAAAGAATTCCTCTCCCTCTGTAGTAGGTACATGCTTCAAATACTGTACATAGATATCAGGGTCTTTCCTTGGCCATTCCTTAGATGAGTCACACGCGCTTCGTTATGTTCAACTTTCATCCTTCCCGAACACCCTTAAATCATTGTGGCTCTGCTATGAGTTCCTTCAAGCTCTATCTGTTCCATGCTCTGAGCACCTCAGTTAAGGAGCTACCTAATGTCCATCTCCAAACTTAAAGTCAGACACGAGCTCAAGCTACGAATTATGGTTCTAGTTCCAGATCCAGATTTGGACGTTCAGGGGATGTCTGGTCTGGAGTTCTGATTCTGACTGTTTTAAAGGCCGTTTGCAAAATGGGGCTCTGGCCCAAGACTTAAATTTCAACCCCCGCCCCAACAACTGGGAGGGTTTGCACCCAGGATTTGTTTTCTCGGCTTTGCCTCACATCCCTTCCCCGCCTTCCCCATTAATAGGGTGCCAGCAACACACAATGTGTTTTACCTTACTACTCAATTAACAGAGCCCTGAAGAATATGTTGTGATGGTAGCAAATACACACTGGGCGGCTGCAAAGTGTTAGCCAAAGATGCTTCTTGGCTGTATATTGCTGCAACATCTGTATCTAACTTTTGAGCATTACTCTACCTGCTTCCCTTCTATTTTTGTTCTTTATTTGTCACATTGATGTTTTCATTTAAGTCGCAGGCTTTTCAGGGCACGGACTGTATCTGGTTTATTTGTCTAGAACGCACCTCGAGCTCTGGGGGTGCTGCATACATAAATGATAAGACAATGTAGAAGGATGAAGAAAGCCACCTGACTACAGAAATAATAGTCCCCATCTCCTCCTTAAGCTCGTTTGGGAAAGAATGCCCTTAATGTGAAGAGAACCACTGTATTTATGAAGATCTGCACTCCGTATTGTAAAACTGGGTCCAGACGTTGTGCCTAATAAAATCTTCATTCTTGCCAGAAAGGTGTTAAGTGTATTTGATTGTCTGTCGGGAGCTGAGCCAAACTTTTCAAATCAGGGGATGGCTGGAATAATAAATATACCTCTTGAGATGTGGTTTTGCGGTGGGTAACCAGAGAAATATAGGACTGAACGTGACCTT